AATGGGAGGCTCTAGAAAAACGGAAGGGCCTACACCACCCAGGCAAAATCCTACCACCGATCATCCACTTGCTTGACCATCAGTGAGGAAAAGTGTCCTTCCTACCAGTAGACAAGGGGCCTTTTCCCAATCCCGGGCTGATTTAACTGTGATTATTAGTCCCAGCAGCAGCTGCCATTTACTGAGTACCTATGATGTGATGACAAAAATAGCATCCATGTCACTGAGTTATTGAAAATTGAAAGCATGTGAATTGCTTAGTACAGCCAGATCTGCTGGAACACAACATTTGCACTCCTAAAAATCACCATGCTATGCAAAATCACACAATAAAACCACAGGGCTTAGGGGAAAATGGGGTGAGGGGAAAAACACTCACTGACTTCACCAGCGACCCACACACCCGTACCCGAATATATGCATGTGATAGGGGCCTAATAAAAGGGTAGCACAGTCTGACACACTAAATGGCCAAGAACTGCATAAACACTGTGATAAATACGTCACTTTAGTATCAGAGTGACCTGAAGTTTCCTCGCGTCTGTGGGTGTCAGAAGGGCTGTAGCTTGTGAAGCATCGTAAAGCCGTGACAGGAGTATATGTGAAATCAGATGAGAAGTTGCTACACCAGATGTGCATGGGTGCGGCTCATAACACACACCCTGCGTTTCCACCTGAGGTAGCCGGTAGATATTTGAAGTGTGTTCGGTATGCCCCTACCCAGTGTGGTTTGGCTGGGTGTATCTACTGTTTCTCACAGACGAAGTCCCCCATTAGCAAACATGAAATTGGCATTATGCTCGAATTGCTCCCTCATACATCGGTTGTGCCGGAACAAATGAATGTTTTCAAAATAATCATTATCGCAGAGCTGACTATACAGGATTCATGGCAAATGTGCCATAAATGATAGCTGGGATTGTAACAGCCTTTCATGAAACTCAGTAAGGTAAGGATAAACAGTCACATTTTATAGCTGAGTAACTGAGACTCCTAGAGGTTAACTCCCTTACTCAAAGGTACAGGGCTAGGAAGGGGCAGGGGCTCTAGCCACACCCCATACGTCTCACCATGGGGTGAATCTCCTTTTACATCCAATATGGGATACTGTGTTAGTGGTAGGGGAGGCCACAAGATGAGTCTCTATCTCTGGGTCATCATCTTTGACAGCTCCAGGTATTGTTGCATAGAACGTAAATTCACCTGATTCTTATTTATTTTATTTATCTATTTTTTAAAGTATATTTATTTTGAGAGACAGAGGACAGAGAACATGTGCATTAGTGGGGGAGGGGCAGACAGAGAGGGAGAGAGAGAGAATCCTAAGCAGGCTTCACACTGGTAGCACAGAGCTAGATGTGGGGCTCGATCTCATGAACCATGAGATCATGACCTGAGTGGAAATCAAGAGTCAGATGTCTAACTGACTGAGCCATCCGGGTCCCCCCACACCTGATTTTTAAAGACCAGACAAATATCTGAGACATGTCTGGTCTGTGCTGCTTCCTCAGGGGGGTGTATTTATTCTCCTCTATTCTTGGGCCTGATAGAGTCAAAAATGTTGGAAAGCTCTTTGATGTCTCATGCTACCTGCTGATGTGGAGAAAATCCCTGTATTTAGCCAAAAGCTGCCTCTCTGGACTCTCCACCACTGTGTCCTTATGTGTCCTTAACTGAGCCTTCTTTTCTCCAGCTTGAACTTGGCAGTGCATAGCTTCCTTACCCCTGAAGGTTCTGGGGTCCAGAGCGGAGCACACTACTCCACACATGCCTTCGCAAACCTAGACACAGAAGGTCATATGAGGGGACTCTTGGCCAGAGGTGGGATTGACTTTTATAGCAGATGTCTCCTGTTCCTGGCTCGTACTGATCTTGGGTCCAACTACATCCCTAGACCATTTTTTCCTGAATTCTTGACACCTGCTCTCCCCTCCTTGTTCTGAGTTCAAATGTAGGATTTATGTTTATGCACATTAAAATATCTTTTTGCTCGTCTTATCCCATCAAAGTCCATTTTCCATCGACTTTGTATTATGGAAGACTCCCAACTATTCAAAAGTAGAGAGACTTGGGGCGCCTGGGTGGCTTAGTCGGTTAAGCGTCCGACTTTCGCTTAGGTCATGATCTCGCGGTTCGTGGGTTCGAGCCCCGCGTCGGGCTCTGTGCTGACTGCCAGCTCAGAGCCTGGAGCCTGTTTCAGTCTGTGACTCCCTCTCTCTCTGACCCTCCCCTGCTCACGCTGTCTCTCTCTCTCTCCTAGAAATAAATAAAAAAAAAAATCAAAAGTAGAGAGACTAATAGCATAACGAACCTGCATGAAAACGTCACCACCAGTAACTCTATCAATTACAACACATGGACAGTCTTGATTTGTGAAGACTCGTGTTCACCCATGACATTGGATCTCCAATTGTTTTTAAGCAAAACCTAGACACCATGCCAGTTCACCCATATTCCAGTATGTATCTTTAAGATAAAGGCTCCTAATAAAATAAGAGATAAAGAGTCTTTTAAAAACTTACTCACAAGATCATTCTTATGCCAAAATAAATTAATAGTACTTCCTCAGTATTATTAAATATCCAGTCAGTGTTCAAATGATCTCAATTACTTTGTTCAAATCAGGAGTCCATGTGGATATGTCTTTTGAGCCTATTTTAGTGAATGGGTTTTCTCTTTATTTTTCCGTTTCTGCCTTGAGTTTTTGTTGTTCTTTTAGGAGCCAGGCTGCTTGTTGTTTTTTGAGTTTCTTAAATTAAGAATTTTTGTATAGCACCTCAGTGGCGCCAGTTAATACATGATTTTGTCTTCTGGTTTTCCTGGAACTTGGGCATAGCATTCAATGGCATGATCAGATTTGGTTTTGATTATTTTTCATTGTGGTAAAAAACATATAACATTAAACTTACCATTTCTTAAATGTTTATTAATTTTGAGAGAGAGAGTGGGAGTGAGCACGAGCAGGGGAGGGGCAGAGAGAGAGAATCCCAAGCAGGCTCTGTGTGGTCAGCACAGAACAGACGGGGGGCTTGATCCCATGAACCATGAGATCATGACCTGAGCCAAAATCAAGGGTCAGATACTTAACTGACTGAGCCACCTAGGTGCCCATTAAACTTACCATTTTAATCATTTAAGATGTACAGTTCAGTAGCTTTAAGTACATCCACAATGTTGTGCAATCATCACTACTCTCCATTTCTTGAACTTCATCATTCCAGATAGAACTCTGCATTTCCCCGGTACACCAGTCCCCACCTGGTAACCTCTGTATTACTTCCTGTCGCTATAAATTTGCTTATTCCAGGCAGGTAAGTGGACCTCACGTAGGTGGACCATACAATATTTGTCCTTCTGTGTCTGGCTCATTGCACTTAGCACGAAGCTTTCAAGGTTCACCCATCTTGTAACAGGTACTAGAACTTCGTCGTGTGGATATACCACATTGTGTTTACCCATTAACTTCTTGATCGACATTTGGGTTATGCTTTTGATTTTTGACAAGAACACTCCATTAATAGTATTTGACAAAGAAACGCATAATATCTGGGGCACCCGGGTGGGCCAGTCCGTTAAGCCTCTGACTTGGGCTCAGGTCATGATCTTGTAGTTTGTGAGTTCGAGCCTCGCATCGGTCAATCTGCTGACAGCACAGAGCCTGCTTCGGATCCTCCGTCTCCCCCTCTCTGTCTCTCTTTCAAAAATAAATAAACATTAAAAAAAATAATTAAAAAAAAGGAAACACATATTATCTATACATCCCTCATTAAGGATTCCAAAGTAGAAGTTTTCTACACATCTTTGTCTTCTGTGCATTCTGTATTCCTGTCCTTTCTCACAACCTTTCCCTTCTGTTTACTATTCTGCATTCACCCTCCTCACTAAACGTTGCTCCGGCCTTCAGAAGACCTGGCTTTCTCGCGAGAACCGGCTTCCTCGCAAGAACCGGCTCCCTCGCGAGAACCTGCTTCCTCGCGAGAACCTGCTCCCTCTGCGGTGCTCCTGCCCGCGCCGCACCTCCGATCATGGGGTGGGTTCACAGTGCCGGAGCGGCCTCTCCTGGCCCCCACTGCTCGGTTAGACTTCTGTTGCGCCTTCCTCCCATGATGCTGCCTTCTCCTTGGAGGCTCACCCCATCCTGTGGCTGCCAGTGTCCCTTCCCCACTATTGGCTGGAGACTTTGGTCCTGACTCAGCGCCTTTCCCTTAACCTCACCATTGTCATCATTAGGACGGACCTCACCGGCCCGGGAACACTGCCCACTGCACCGGACCTGGGCAGTCCTTCAGCCTTCCCTGCTGGCCCTGGGCCCCTGAGCACTGGTGGGGCGGGTCACGCCGCTGTGCAGATGGCTGCCACCACAGGTTCACAGCATCGCTGCTGTGCTGGGGCCCCGGGTCCCCTGACATTCCTCTTGTTGGCCCTTGGCCAGCTGTGTCTCTTATTCAGCCCTGTAACTGGCCCTCAGTTCCCACCTCCTCCTCACCTGTACTGTTATTTGGGAGAAAATAGAGTCACTCCCCGAGTGGAATTCCCCTCGGCTTCTGCCCTCTGTGCAATGAAAACTTTATCTTCATCTGTACCTCCACCTCCTTTTATGTTTTAGGGGCCCTATGACCCTTGTCAGAAACCGTAGCCCCCCCACCCCTAGCCTCTGCGATTAAACAGTGACCAGATGACATGGGGCAGGTAGGAGTAAGAGAAGAGAGGGAAGGAAGGAGGAGGAAGGGAATGAGAAAAAGGGAAAGGCAGTAGGAAAGCCGAGGTGGTGACAGAGAGAAGAAAAGGGAGACAGGTACTTAGCCCTTCCCTCCAATGTTCTGGGTTTTTTTTTTTTTTTTTTTTTTTTGGTTTATTTATTTTACCACTGAGTGTTCTCTCAATGGCCTTATCTTTCTCTGCTTCCCTTTGAGCGTTGGGGGCAGATTGCCTCACCTCGCTGCCTCATAGGGAAGTTATGAAGATCGAGTTGACAAAGGGCTTTGTGCTCTATCCCACAGGTGCCTGCATGGAGACCCTGGCCCAGGAATCCTGGGGGGAGGGGATCGACCTCTGACCCCAGGTGGGCTGGCATCTGGAATTTGCATCGTGGGTTCACACAGCACCGGAGATGCAGAATCCTCCGTCTTCAAGCTCTTGATACTTTTGAGTAGTGGTACAGACACAGAGGCTTCCCCCACAGAGTGGGGGACCGGATGGAGACCTGTGAATACGTCTGATTGCTTTCCTGGCATCGTTACAGAGCATCAGCAAGAAACTCCTGTTATAAGGTGCTTTTTGTAAATGTGCTTTTTGTCCAACTATTCCATTGTTCACCCATGTGGTCACTTACTCGCATTTGTGGATCTTGATTCACATTCATGTGCCAATGAAAGAGGCCCGTGGAATCCTGAGATACAAAGTTTTTTCCTGGCTCTACCTGAGCCCTTAGAGCTGAGAGAAGTCTCCTCTACCTTCCTCCCCACCTCCATCCCCACTATACACAGCTGCCCTTGACATCTAGCTTCCCTTCACATCTGTCCACAGCAGAGAGTCCGCTACATGAGAAGAGAGACTATGTCACCACTGGGTAGTCGTTCTCATTATTAGAAAGTTCTTCTGAGGTTATCTGGTTTGTGTGATCTTGGGCAAGCCACTTCCCTTATGTGGCCTGCAGATTCCCATATGAACACAAGGCAGTTAAAGCAGTGGATCTGCCCTAATTTTAGACTTCTGTTTACTTTGAGTCAATGCCCATTTTTGTCTCCTGAAGCATCCTCAATCCTCCTGGTTTTCATCCTTGGTTGTTAATCACATTTTCTTTTCTTTTTCCTCCGCCTCCTCCTCCTCTCAGGCTCTAAATATTCCTCAGGGCTTGGTGCATTTCTCACGCTATATTTAACTTTCCCACTCTCCACTCCAAGCCAGTGTGACTTTATACAACCCCACAATGTATAAAGGAAGGACTTTTGAAGGCAGATCTCTACCCAGCCCTCACGTATCTGCCTGATATCTGCACTTGGATGTCTCATGGTTGTTCAGCCTCACGGTGCTCCATCTACATGCTTGGTCTTCCCCCACCTGATTTTCATCTAGCCTTTGAAGTCTTAGGAAATGGCTCCAGGCAGAAGACTGTTTTGAGTTTTCCTTAATCCTCTCTGCCAACCTATGGTCTACTGGGCCTACTAACCAAAGACTTCTCTAGACTGTTCATTTTCATCCACCTCAACATGACACCAGCACTTCGGCTCTTCTCTGGGCTTCTGCTGCAAAAGCTTCCTGGATTCTATTCCTGTCCTCTCTTTCTGTCCCCTCTTCCTGGCCATTCTCTAAACTGCACCAAGATGAGATTGGAATCATATCCTTCCTCTGCTGAAAAGGCTTTAACATCTTACCCTGATGCCCAGAATAAAATGCAAAACCTTGACTGAAGAATACAATCTCCTATTTGCTCTGAACCCCCTACCTTGCTCCCTGAGTTCATCTTAGGCCGAGATTCATGTGCTCAGACCACACCGGGATTCTCTGCTTCTCCAACATGCAGTTCTTACCCCATTTTATGGCCTTTGCATGGATGTTTCCTCTACTTGGACTTCTCTTCCCTGTGCTCTTTCCTTCACTGCAGCCTCCTCTTCTGGGTTTCTGTTGAAATCACTTTGCAAAAGAGGCCTTACCCCATTGCCTGATTCCTCTGCTTATTAACCATAAGACTTTGGAGAAGTGACTTCCCTGCTCAAGGCTTCTGTTCATTTCATTTAGAAGGTGGAAAAAATCATAATATTTATTTGGTGGTGAGAGTTAAATGCCATTGCTTGTTCATTCATTCATCCATTCATTCCCTCATTCATCCACTGAATTCATAACATAAGTCACCAAACTTCGTTGAATGATTTCTGGGCCCTGTGCCCGGGGTGGGGGACACAGGGATGAGAGTATGACTGTAGGGTGCTGGCCTGTGCTTGGCGCAGAGCAGGCGTTCAATGAAGATTTATTATTTCTTGTAGGCACCACCTCTCTAACACTTGAGCTGGTCTTTTCAAACACCTTTCACCTCCTCCTGGGGAGCTTATATCTGTAGTTGCCCCAACAGCCCCAGCCATATAGCAGTAGAGTTATAGAGGGCCTAGCATAAGTCAGGCATTCCACACACATCTCTAAGATCCTGATCTAAGATGCCACAAGGGGGGCATTACCACTGCCCTGTCCTAGAGCTGAGGATGGAGCCCTTGGGGCGTAGGATCTGTGAGTCTTGCCATCTAATGCCAGGCAGGGCTGGGCTCTCAGAATTGGGCCTTTGGATTTCAAACCATCCCCACATCCCATGAGGCCATGCTGCCTTCCTTGATGCTTCACTGCCTGCTCTCATCATAAGACTTTTCTGGAATGAAGGAAAACAAGTGTTCACCATGGCCCAGGGTTTCATAAGAACAGCAACAAAACCTGAACGTGACCTCCTTTGCTCCATTTCCCCTAAGCTCACGTTACCCCTTCACATTCATTTCCCACAGGAACAGTTTTTGTGACCCAAACAACTTCCTGGTCTTGAGGTTGTCTGCTGACAGCATGGGGGAGGTTATCTAGGAGCTGACCCTCTCTGTTGGCTGTGTCACTGGGTCGGTCACATAACCCTGTGGCTCAGTTCCCTCATCTAGAAATTGGGGCTGTGAGTCCTTGCCGCACATCCGTTCCTCGAGGGAGTTGTGAAGATGGGGTTTGCAGTGTGTTTTTGTTTTTTTCTGGATCCTTCAGTCACACAGACAGAGCCCTCTGACTTCCACCCCCAGTCATAACGATATAGTCCTATTGTGGTTGGTAAAATGAGATGGATCAAATTATCTCTGAGGTTCTTCCCAAGCCTGGGATTTTGTGATTCACACATCTCATCATGGATTGTCTTCATCAGTTCTCTGTGGGTGTCTGGAGAGCAAAATAAAGACGCCTTAATTGTAGTTTAGACTTCTCTGCAAAATAATAACAAGAGTGGCATGGAATTTTAGTTGCTTACTACGTTCCAGGCACCATGTTTGATACTTAACAAGAATCACCTCATTTAAGATTTATAACAATTCCGATTGTAGAGATAAGGGGGTGGAGGCCCAGAAAGATCAGATCACACAACTAGTAAGTCCTGGTCCTGGAACTTAAACACGTGTCATCTGGTGGCCTCGTCTGGGGCCCCAGGTTCTATGCTATGCAGTGCATGCACTGGGGAGAAGGCGGCACAGAGAAAGGGGTGAAGAGCACAGCTGTAGGGATTATTGGGGTGAAAAGAGGGAATCTCTAGGGGCTCCAGGGGAAGATTTCATTCCTGGTCTCTTCCAACTTCGGGTGGCTCCTGTCATTCCTTGGCTTGTGGCTGCATCACTTTAATTTCTACCTTTATCCTCACACAGTCTTTTCCTCTGTGTGTGTCTGTCTCCCTCTCTGTGTCTTTTGTAAGGACAATTGTCAACAGATCACCTCTACAAAGATCCTTTATGAGTAAGGTCACATTTGCTCATTGTAGGGATTAGGACATGGACATAACTTTTGCGGGGGCCACCATGTAGCCCCTTACTTGTACTGACCGTCTCATTCTTCACAAATTGATCTTTATACACACACTTCTTTGAATCCAGCCTCATGGTGCCCTCACGGAGCAGCTAAGGGAGTCATTGGTGCCCCCATTTGGCAGGTAATGGAAGTGCAGTGAGACCCTGGCTGGGCAGCGAGGCATCCACATCTGCTGGCCGAAGCCAGTGCTGGGAGATGGAGTCCCTGGTTCGGGGTCTCATCTTTATGCTGTGAAAGTGTGAGGGACAAAGAGATAAACACATGAGCTCACAGACCTTTGGAAAACGACAGACAGAAGTTTGCAAATGGGTGCTTGGGGCCAACCGGGAAATGCAGAAGGGATTTGTTTGCCTCCGCTGTATTTTAAGAAAAACATTTGAAAAAGTAAAATTGAAAAATCAGAAGAAAAATCTAGATATTCCCGTTCTTTTGAAAAAACCCCAGAATATTTAGCTAACCTAGGCACCCATTTCACTGGGAAAAGAGTGGGAGCCGAGTAGTAGTTGGCCTTTAGAGAAGGCATGTTTTGGTTGTGGAAAGCTGAGTCTCCAGTTACCCTAATCTTAGTGTAACCATCTTTTTATGCTCACAGATTTTATGGATCAAGAATGGGAACAGGACACGGGGAGATGCATGTCTTCACTCCACCATGTGTGGGGTCTGAGTTGGGAAGACTTTCTGGAGGTCACTCCAGCAGTTGGGGACTGGTGGGGCTGTGGTCGGGTGAAGGAGGGGGTTCTCTTCCATCATGGCTTCTTGCTCATGTCTGGTGCCCTTGAAGGTGGGGCTCAGCCGGGACCATCAGTCCCGCATCCCCACCCTGCTTCTCCAGGCGCCTGTGCTTTCAATCTCAGCGCCTGCTTGCTGGGTTCGGAGGGGAGTATTCTGGGAGGGGAAATCCCGTCCAGGGCCCAGCCCCTGAAGTCCCAAAAGCATCATTTCTGCTGCACTGATAGGAGGAGGCAAAAAATTGTAGCCTGTTCTCCCCCCAAATCTCCAAAGAGCAGGTGCTATTTTATTCTTTTAACCTGATCCTCAGATACAGCTGGCGGAGTTAATTAAACTCAGTTAATTGCACGCGGCCATCCTCACACCGCTGGTCCCTGCAAAACCCGGCTCGTTTATGTTTGCATCTATTTATCTTCTTATTTATTTTTCCCCTTTAATGCCCATCCTCCTTTCCTCACAGGCAACATTGTCATGTATGTGACATTTATCTTTCTGTCTGTGGGTGTTCTGGTATGATACATAGCGCTTTGTGTGCGCACAGTTTAATTTACATAAATGGTGCTATTTCAGAGATCTCATACTGTGTCTTACTTGTTGGATTCAGCCTTGGGTTTTAAGGTCTAGTGCATTGTTGTGTATGTGCGTGCGTGTGTGTGTGTGTGTGTGTGCGTGCGCTTGCGCACCACAGCTGCTCACTGCTGCTGGCTATGCTGGGGTCAGTGTCCACTGTGTACATCCACTCTCTCCTCCAATGACCGCCACACGGGTGCTTCCATTGTCTGCCATCTGCTGTGATAATCAGAGCAAGCCATGTCCCCTGCCGAACCGGTGGGAGGAATCCTCTGGGGAAACACATCCAGGAGAGGGAGGGCTGGGTCATAGGGTTGCATGTGTATCTGATTCCCCCCCCCCGCCCCAGAACAGCTGCAGCATTTCGCTGCCCCTTGTGGGGTGTGGTCATTCCCCAACGCCACCGAGACCCACCAACTCTTGGTGTTTCCCAGCTTTACTGAAGTCTCATCTCATTTGATTTTTTTCTGCTTACTGATGAGTTTGAACACCTTTTCCTATGCCTCCTGGCCATCCGTACATCCCCTTTAGTAAGTACTTTTCACAGTCTTTGCTCATCTTTTTGTTGCGGTTCCTGACTCTTTTGGCTTTGCGGGGACAAGTGCTCTTGGTGTTTGTACCGCATACCCCCAGCCACGGCACACGCTGATGTTACTTACGGTGCCCTGGGGGCAGGGAATTGGCATCCCCTGGTGGGAGAGTTCTGCAGGAAGGAAGAAGGGATTGCAGCTGGGACCACCTGCCTGAGGCTTGGCGGAAAGGCAGGGGTGGGTGGGGTAGGGTCAGGGCAGGTTTTCTTGTTTGTTTCCTTTGCTGGTTGTAACAAATGAGCACAAACTTGATGGCTTAAAACAACAGAAACTTACTCTCTCACAGTTGTGGGGACCAGAAGTTGGAAATCAGTTGCACGGAGCTGAAATAGATGTATCCTCAGCGTAGAGCTCCTTCTGGAGGCTGGAGGGGTGGATTCTTCTTGCCTCTCCCGGTTTGGCTGCTGGTAGGTGGTGTTTGTTTTTGTTTTTGTTTTTGTTTCTGCCTGTGGCTGCATCACTCCAATCTCTGCCTCTCTGGTCACATGGCCTCCCCTCCTCCCTTTGCCTCGTTTCTCTTTGCTTCTCGCTTATAATAAGGTTACTTGTCATGGCTTCGTAGGTTTGCACAGGTAATCCAGGAGAGCCTCTTCGTCTCCAAATCCCTAATTTTATTGCATCTGCAAATATTTTACTGTATAAGGTAACATTCACAAGTTCTGGGGTTAAGAATGGACATTTGCTGGTGGGGGAGGGGTACCACTCAGCCCACTCTAGGAGGCTATGCTTATTTTGAGCCAGGAAATAAAAGTGGACAGAAACACATTTCCATAAAAGTGACAGAGGTGCAGGGAGACATGATAGCATAGTGTGTGTGGGGTGGATCCGAGGAGTTGGGGGTGTCTAGGGCCAAGGGCCTGAGTAGGGGAGAGGGGGTTCATGTTGGAAGCAGAGGAGGGATGAGAGATGGGAAGGTCTCAGCAAATGAGCTGTGCAGCGAGAGACAGAACAGAAGTGGATTTAGGAAAAGTGGGTTTATTTGTATGTGTGTGTGTGTGGTTTTTATTCTCCTATATCACTAAAATGTACATCCCTAAATATGCAGTCTCTCAAACAATGTTGTAAGTGCAAAAACCACCTACTGCCTCCTTGAGATAAACCCAAGAATCTCTAAAGAGAGTCAAGGGTGTTTGAAGGGTTTACAATGTCCATGTTTAAGGCTTTTAGTTGAGCAGAGCTTAATTTTAAAAGTCTGACCTCCTGAGGATGTTAGAGTTTCTTGAAATATCTGGTAGTGGCCAAATAAACAGAATTTTGTTGCCATGGGGCAATTTTTCAGAGCAGCCATTGTGTGTTGGGTGCCGTTCTGGGGGATAAGAACATGAGCTTGAGCGAGACCAAGGCTCTGCGTTCCTGGGTCCTGTCCGGGGTGACTGGTGCTATAGAGACAATGAAGCCATCTAGTTGGCATAGGTGTTGGGGAGGCAGAGGGGTTGTATGTATAGAGGGGGGTCAGGCTGTGAAAAAGCCAAGCTAAACTTCCACCACCAGCTCCGTGACCTTGGGTGAGTGATATAACCACCTGTGCTAATTTTCCTCCCTGTGCAAAACAGATGTGGTGCTTTGGAAAAATGGCTGCAGGTCCTTGAGAGTCTGTGTCCCATTTCCTTGGGTTTGGGTGGCCTTGTGACTGACTGCTTGCTCAGCACAGCACCATAGAAGTGACCCTGTGACTTCTGAGGTCATGTAGCAGGATTCTTGCACAGAGTGGTGACTCCGAGGCTTTTCTTTCCAGGAAGCAACTTTATTCCTGCCGGCACTTCTCAGTTGGGTTCATCCCCAAGGAACTGAGCCCTGAACACCATGTGGCATAGATTTTTAAATATATTTTTTACTTCTTTGTCTCCCATATATGGTAATGCACAAACACGTAGTCTGATTAAATGGTCTCATGTTACAAGGTCGTGAAAGATGTTGTCAAGTAGGCAAAGAGCAAGGTTGCCTTGAAGTTGTTTTTTTTTTTTTTCTTTCCTTAGGGAGGGGACCCTACCACAGTCGGGTCATAAAAGGCCACATAGCTTCTGTCTCATTTGCTGTGACATTTATTCTCGGGGCTCTACATTGCAGATGAGGAGGCAACTACCATGACCATGACAAGGACATTGTGGAGAGGCCTCTGGTTAACAGCCTTCAAGCCATCTCAGCCCAGGAGCCAGACATGTGAGTAAATGAGCCTGCAGATAATAGCAGGCAGCCCCCCAGCCTTTTGCCCCTAGCTGTTTGAATCTTCCCAAGGGAAATCCCAGACATCATGGGGCAGAGAAGAGCCTTCCCACATGGTGCCCCATGTATATCCTGACCCATAGATGTTGTTTGCCTAATAAAATCGTTGTTGTCATTTCCCTACATTTGGAGATGTTTGTTACACAGCAGTACTCAAGGGGCAGTAGGTGCTTACATCGTGGACTGTTGTGTGGCTTAAATGAGTTAATGGATGTAAATTTAAAGGAAGTTTGTAAATTCAGGGACACCAAACTTTGTCTAATTTAGCACTGGAGATTGCCAGGGAGAATGTTTCTCTTTCAACAATGACTTGATAAGGTATCCAGAATTTTAATTTTGATATTTTCCTTGTCCTATATGTTTGCTCCATTAAAAAAAAAGTAGGTTCCTACCTTCCTCTCTGGGAATATTGTAGATAATTGGTGTTGAGCCGACCTCAGCATGGGACACTTTTAACATGGCCTCTTTGGTCTCTGTCACCATGGGCAGTCCAGTGTGTCACATCCAAGGAAGTGTCTCATTACTCTAGACCCTTACATAATTAAATAGTCAGCATGGATCAATCAATAGATTTTTTTCTAGCCTTCAGAAATTAACATTTCTTTTCCACAAGTGTTGTCTTTGGAAAATAGTATTAAAAGACACTGGAGTTTGTCCTTGACTCTGGACACCCGCCTGCAACTATCCCACTTTCCTGCAGTTGTAGAAAAATTCTCAAAAGAATTGTCTGGACTTGTCAGCGTTTCCTCTCTTCCCACTCCCTCTCAACGCATTCCAAGCAGGCCGTGGCCACAGGACTGCACTAAACCCAGCTTCCATCAAGATCACCAGTGGCCTCTCTGTTGCTAAATCTAGTCATCAATTCAGCATTCTTAGTCTCAACCTCAGCCTCCGTCCTCAAGTGGCCTCACCCGCCCACCTGTGCCTTATGTGGCACAACTGATTGTCCTCTCCTTGTGGAATCACTCTGCACTTGGCTGCAAGAGCCTCCCTCTCCTTGGGTCCTCCTCCACCTCGCCGGCTGCTTCCACTCTTGCTCAGTAAGTCCTCCTCATCTCGCCTTCTAGATCCTAAGTTGTTGGAGGGCCCCAGCAAAGCTGTCTTTGCTTTTCTTCTTTCCCCTGTTTCCAAAGAGTTGCACATTTTTACAATGTCATCCATATACCAAGGACTCCAAAGTGTTATCTCAAATCTAGATCTCCCCTCTGGGCCCCAGACTTTTATATCCAACTACCTGCCCAGTTGATCTCGAAGATCAACACTGAACTCCTGGTCTATCCCAAGACCGAAGGTGTGCCTGCCTTAGTCTCCCTTTCTTAGTAAATCACCATTCCTTTCTTCAATTCCAAGTGATCAGTTAGGAAATCTAGACTCGTCTTTGATGTCTCTTCTCTTCACACTGGATCCATTAACAAATTCTGGTGGTTCCACCTTTAAAATACAGGAAGAATGTGACACTTCTCTGACCTCCATTGTTAGCACCGGCTGTTCATCTCTTGCCTCTTCTACTGCACTGGTCTCCTAACTCTTCTCCTGCTTCCAGCTGTGTTCCTTGGTGGCCTATTCTCTGGGTGATAGTTTCAAAATATGTATTAGATTGACAGACTCCTGAGCTCAAAACCCTCCAGTCGCTTCTCATCACATTCAGAGCAAACTCCAAAGTTCTTACAGTGGTTCTCGAGGTTGACGAGCACCCTGACTCCCTGAAGCTCATCACTCAGATTCTTTCCTGCTCTCATCACTCCAGCACATGCTACCCTAGCCATTGTGCAGGGCACACAGGCACTGCTCCCTCTGCCTGGAATGCACTGCCCTTGCATTATCCCTGACGTTATTTGTATCTCTGTTCAAAAGTCCCTGTGTGAGGGAGACCCAATGAACACCCACCTGAAAGAACTTTCTCTGTCATGGTCAGTCTCCTTTTCCTGCTCTATTGATCTGTCTATCATTTGTCCATCCATCCATCCATCCATCCATCCATCCATCCATCCATCATCTAGCTATCATTTCATAGCAGTTTCAGATTCAGGGCAAAATTAAAAGGCAGACACAAAGATCTCCCATCTACACACAGCCTCCCCATTAACAACACCCTACCATCCCAGAGCAGAACAGTTATTATAATTGATGAACCCATACTAATTAATGCATCTTTATCCCTCAAAGTCCAAGTATACTTTAGGGTTCATTCTTCATAATCTACATCCTGTGGGTTTTCACAAATGTATACAGATGTGTACCCACCATCCTCATAGCGTCTGGAAGAGTTTCCCTGACGTGAAACTCCTGAGTGCTCTGCCTATTCATCTGTCCCCACCCCCAAGCCCTGGCAACCCCTGATCTTCTTTCACTGTCTCCATAGTTTTGCCTTTTCCAGAATGTCATCTATTTTGAATCCTAGAGTATGTAGCCTTTCAGATTGGCTTCTTTTACTTAGTAATACACATTTGAGTTTCCTCTGTGTCTTTTCATGGCTTGGGTTTTATTTACAGAGATTAACAGAACCTGACATATATATTTATTGCTTATCCCCAGCCATTGTATCATAACCCCCGTGAGAGAGGGATTGCTTTATTTTTAGGCAACTGTATCCACTGCAGCTAGAAGTGTGACTGGAACATGGCAGGCATGCAAAAGCAATCTGTTGAATGAGGAAATAAGTCAATTAATGAAAAGATTCTTCTTTGCAATGGTCCAAGTATGTAGAGTGTTCTTTTAGATAATGTAGAGGAAAGACACCTGTAAACTGCAAAGAAGTTTACAAATTTCAGTAGTTATTGTTGCTACCTATTGGGAAGAGTCCTTGTCACCATGTCAAAGGATGGTGGAATGTCAGATTTGAAAGCAACCAGAGAGGTGTAACTCTCTATGTTCACAAAACATCTCTAAATATTTCGCTGCCACTAAGAAGCCCATCATCTACCCCTTTTACCGGCTCAGTGTCTTCATTCTTCGATTTGGAGTTGAAATCTCCCACCCTGTCACTTCTATTTTTTGATCCTAACTTGGCATCAGGAGCCACAGAGCACTATGTTGAATCCCTGTCTTCATGACAGCCCTTTTAAAATATTGAAGATAGCTGGCCTGGTCCCTTTTGCATTCAGTTCCCCAAGGAAAACACCTCTCATTCCATCAACGGCTCCAGCTGTGACATGATTCTGAGATAGTGTCCCCTCTCCTAAATGCGGCTGAGTCTGATGCTAGTTTCCTCTGTGTAAGCACTCCCTGGACGAGAACACGGCACTTCAGTCCTGACCTGTCTGCTCCAGAGCTCAGGTCTGTCTCTGGCTCCTTGTTAAGGGCTTGCGTGTTTGATAAATATCAGCAGGATTTGTTTAATTTCGGAGCTTCTCCTTCTTATGGTTGACTTGCATGGAGCATGCACTTCAACTCCAATACCCCTTCTCTTTCTCCTCCTCCTCCTCTCTCCTTCCTTTGCTTCCTTTTCTTCCCCCTTGCCTTTTCTCCTTCTTCTTCTTGTTCTTCTTCCTCGATGAAAATTGCGAAGTCCTCTCATTTAGACCTCAGCCTAATTTTTAAAATATGTGGGCAGGACTTTACATCAATCCCTTAGCATGTAAGTTTGTCTCTCCTTCCCATCTTGACAAGGTATGCCATTTTGAACATTTATCTGTCAATCATCCCATGTATTTGCTTTGTCTTCTAAGTTTGGAGTCACCTGCCTACTTGACAAGTATGGTGGGTTTGTTTTTTTTTTATTTTTTTATTGCTGTCTTCTTCCAGACTAATAAGAAAACCAATAGCAAGTTTAAAGCCCTGGCTTGGCCAGTAGATGATGACCACATGGACCCGTTGATGGCTTTCTGTAGGTACATTCTTCGACCTTCTGTGAATCTACCACCTGTAACTTTGGGAAGATCACAGTTCTCCCTCTTGCTACCAAAATGTGCTAAGAGACCTCAAAATCTTTGATTACTATGTGTCAGCATTTCTGGTTTGAAACCCCATTAGGAGAGGGAAATCCATGCATTTGCCAAGGCTTACTGTAGGTAAACCAACAGTAACTTCTTCTAATTCACTGTCGCTCCTTGAAGCTCCTGTGAGCCATCTGGTCCTGGCACTCAGGAAGGGGGTCTCAAACACACAGGTTGGCCCACCCATCTTAATAACCACAGTAGCTGAGATAGCACTTCTAAGAGTTTTGTGTGCTGTTAACTCAAAGATTCCTTACAACAACTCTAGGAAGTAGTTGGTATTACTATCCCCATTTTATGGATGAACAAACTAAGAAACAGGACTGTGAAGTAACCTGCTAAAAGGTCTTTTAGTTAGCAAAGACTGGAGCCACGCACTCTACTTCTAGAGCCCAACATCTTTTCCCATTTTGCTTATGGTTCATGCTACCATCTCTTCCCATCTTCATCCTGGCCTCTGGTTTGGTTCCTGACCCTCTAACATGTGTAATATGGCAGAATGATTGTAAGCAGGGACTTAGGAATTCAGGTGCTACCACTGCTAGCCGTGTGACCTCAGGCAAGTCATTAATACCGCCATGTCTTGTTTTCTGTGTCTTTACTAAACTCGTGATTAAAATAGCCAGTCTGTCGGATGGTGATAAGGATTAAGTTGACTCACGTATGAAAAGTGTTATGTATAATGCACACTCTCAAGGCACGACACTGTCAATGTTGTGGTTATTGTTATTATTATCTTTGTTGTTCTTAGCTAATCATGCGAAAGGTCTATTTAAAGCTGAAGCCACGGGAGGAGCTTGTGTTGATCACTCTGCCCATTGACTCCACTAGACCGCCTCAAAAGTGTCCAGCCCTTGTGTTTGGCCATCCATCCTGGCCTCATGAATTAGAACTGGGTGCCGTCATGCTTGCCATCTGTATTCCTAAGTATCAGCAATTGCCTTTTTAGTACTATATTCTGGAAGTCTTTTAGAGTTTGATATCTAGGTCACTCTGGCTTTT